GGATGAGAGTTTTGATGTTGAGGAACTCAAAGGACTTGAGAGGTACAGTTCTGTCAATATTATCTAAACCGTTTTTATCTTCACACTGTACTGACTGGATTACGAAGACAAGTTTCCACCCTCTCCTTTATCCTACTCACCCATGCAACAACCGCGCATTTGGGGGCATTCGCCCACTGCTGCAAACACTTCCCTTTATTCACACGCATCCCTGTCTATGCCACCCTACCTGTCATCTCACTAGGCCGGACTCTCCTTCAAGATTTGTATGCTTCTACTCCGCTCGCATCCTCCACGATACCCAAAGACGCGCTCTCTGAATCCGCTTTCTCGCTTCCATTTCGCGACGGAAATCCCAATATACTCCTCCAACCACCCACTTCAGACGAAATAGCCAGCTATTTCTCCCTAATAAACCCCCTCAAATATTCCCAACCGCATCAACCGCTCCCATCGCCCTTCTCCCCCCCTCTTGGTGGGCTCACGATCACTGCTTACAGTGCTGGACATACATTAGGCGGAACCATTTGGCATATTCAACATGGGTTGGAATCTATTGTGTACGCTGTTGACTGGAATCAAGCAAGAGAACATGTTCTAGCCGGAGCTGCCTGGCTGGGTGGTGCAGGGACTGGTGGATCAGAGGTTCTGGAACAACTCCGTCGGCCCACTGCAATGATCTGTAGTAGCCGAGGCGCTGGGCCTGTGGCGCTTGCAGGAGGTCGTAACAAAAGGGATGAAGCCCTTCTGTCTATGATTCGCGACACCGTGGAAGCGGGTGGATCTGTCCTTATACCATCTGATTCAAGCGCTCGTGTTCTCGAGTTGGCCTATCTTCTCGAAGAAACATGGCATGCCGATACATCGGGCAGAGGGGGCAATGGCTCTTTACAGAACGCCAAAGTTTTCCTAGCGAGCAGAACCGGTGGTGCTACCATGCGATATGTGCGGAGCATGCTGGAATGGATGGAAGAGGGCATCGTAAAAGAATTTGAGACAGCGAGTGGGATTCTGGACAACCAAGATCAGAGGCGCACACGGAATCAGCAAGCCTCCAAGACGAACGGGGACAAGCCTTCAGCTCCGTTTGATTTCAAGCATATTAAGCTCCTAGAGCGGAGGTCGCAAGTCAACCGCATGCTTGGCACAGCAGGACCTAAAGTCATATTGGCGAGCGACACTTCTTTGGAATGGGGTTTCTCTAGGGACACTGCTAGAAGCCTCGCATCAGATCCACGCAACTTGGTTATTATGACGCAACGCGTCGGAGGAGTTCCTGGCCGGGATAAAGGACTTGGGGAATTCCTTTGGGACCTATGGAACCAGCAGAGAAGCCAAAACGAAACTGCCTCTGCCGTCATTGTCGATACCACAGGTAAAGAAGTTGTCGTACAGAGAGCCCAAACAGTGCCTTTGGAGGGTACCGAGCTACCGCTATACCAGGAATATCTTGCGAGACAACGACAGCTGCAGACTACATTGCAGGGTGACGCAAGTGCATCGATCGAGACGACGGCGGATGTGGTAGATGATCGGTCGTCATCAACATCCACGACATCTGAAGATACTGACATGGAGCACCAAGGCAAAGTGCTGAACACAACGGCAACCATGCAGCATACTCGCAATAAGCTCGGTCTCAGCGATGCAGAGTTGGGTATTAACATTCTCATCCGTCGAAAAAATGTCCACGATTATGAAGTTCGAGGGAAGAAAGGCAGAGAAAAGATGTTTCCCTACGTCTCTAAGCGTAGACGGGCGGATGACTTCGGTGATTTGATTCGACCGGAGGATTACCTGCGTGCAGAGGAGCGCGACGAAGTCGATGGGGAAGACATGCGCGATGGTGGGCCAAAGAAAGAGAATGAAGTGGGGCAGAAGAGGAAATGGGACGATCCAGGCCTGCGTAATGTTGACGGTGCCCGCCGCATGCCCAATACTGCCAACAAACGAAGAAGAGCAGGAACTGGAGCTTCGCATGACATGATGGACTCGATCGAACATGCAGATACGGAGAGTGAAGCTTCAGACAGCGATTTTGAAGAAGGCCCTAACACAGTTGAAGGTCCCTCCAAACTTGTGCTCGAACCGGAAACCATACGCCTAAACTGCCGAATCAGTTTTGTGGACTTCTCTGGCCTTCACGATAGACGAAGCATCCAGATGTTAGTGCCTCTGATCAAGCCCCGAAAGCTCATTTTAGTGGCCGGAGACGAAACAGATACTAGTGAGGTCGCCGAGGACTGTCGTAGATTGATGGGTGCTGGGCCAGGCCAACCTGAAGGAGGAATTGACATCTTTACTCCAGCTGTGGGGATGACCATCGACGCCAGCGTTGACACAAACGCATGGACCGTCAAACTGAGCCGAACCATGGCCAAGAAGCTCCACTGGCAGAAGGTCAAAGGCCTTGGTGTGGTTGCCATTACCGGTCAACTTCAGGCCGCGAACTTGGATGATGACATCAAGTTAGAGGGAGGCGCCAAAAAGAAGCTCAAATCGGCCTCTGGTGATCTCAGCGGACCTACCAGTAAACAGGCCAACTCCGATGCCGATGTCACTCCAGTCCTTGATGTCATTCCCGCTAACATGGCCGCTTCAGCCAGATCAGTTGCTCAGCCATTTCACGTTGGTGATCTTCGGTTGGCCGACCTCCGCAGAATTATGCAGAGTTCGGGCATGTCCGCTGAATTCCGCGGCGAGGGTACACTGGTCATCAATGGGACTGTCGCCGTGCGAAAGAGTGCTACCGGCCAAATCGAAATTGACGGAGGGGCGTACAGCATGGCTGACCCGCGTAATACCGAAGCCGGAACGTTCTTCAAGGTCAAGCGCAAGATCTATGAAGGCCTTGCTGTCGTTGCAGGCGTATAGTACCGTCTATCGACATGTATCATACCGACTATCCTTCTTTACGTGTTATGTCGTTCTACCAAAAAGCCAAAGGAGCCTGTCCCTTGGAGGCATTTGAATATACATATATCCATTACCATTGTTTCTCACAAGCTTGGTGTTCTCGTTCTGTTTCAGCTCGTCCCTCCTCAGTCTGCAGTTTCGTGCGAAGTTCTCGGGTTCTACCTCTTGTGAAGTAGCCAAACGGTTCGCTTCAGATTGCGTAGTGTCTTTATGCCATGACATATATTACAATGCGGAAACATGTCTACTCAACCTGCGACAACTGATCTCTTCGTTTGTGCGATCGAATCCGTCAAGGTTTGCTGTTCACAAGCTCTGATTTCCGAAAGCATAGTCTTTCACGGTATCTGACTTCTGACATATTTAAACATTGAACGATTCATCAGGTATCCTGTCACAGTACCTTCCTATACATCTACTGGTATTTCCCATAACCTTCATTGACGTATCTCAGGCTTACGTTCCAGATACAACAAACACCTCCTGCCAACAAGAAAACATTCACTATATACATGTCACAGCCCGCAAACTCCCTTTATATGTGACATTCCCAGGGTCTGGTGCTCAGGTATATAAGTCCCGCCTTTGTTTCCCTAAGAACATCATTTCAGCATCCGATTACTATACAACGTCGACTCTTGAGCGAAAGTCTGGAACATTACTTTTGAACAATTAAGATTAGCAATACCTTCTGAGACCACGTCATTCGAAACTTCCCATCTTACAAATCTCGGGAGTCGGATTCAACAACCATCCACGATGAATCTTTGCCATCCATGGGTCAACGTCGGGGGCAACCCAAATATCAACCACTACCCTCCTCCACCGCCCCTCGAAGATCCTGCACCAGCTCCTCCACCCCACCTTGCAATAGCATATCCCTATCCTCCAGGCGCCGTCTTCATAGGAGGTCCACCAGCACCCGCAGCACCCGTAGCACCCGCAGCACCCGCAGCACCCGCAGCACCGGCTCCCCCTGCGGCTCCTGCTCCACCATCACCCTTTCTCGTTGGTTACGGTCATCTAGCAGGCTGGGCCGGCTGGGGCGCTCCCATTGCTCCTATTCCGGTCCCTGCTCCTGTTCCTGAGCCACTTGCGCCCGCCCAGTACCCCTTTTACTGGGGCCCAGTTCCCGTCCCCGAAAATCCCCACGATGCCAGCATCCTCCCCGGCGGCCGCCGTCCCGGCGTCAGTCTCATGTACGACGACGAATATTGCGAAATCTGGCATATGACCGGGGACGTTGCTCCATGGACTCACTTCGGTGCGCTGGGATTTACGAAGCTTTGCTCGCCGTGTGACTGGAGTGTGGCCAAGCTAATTGAAAAACTGGGGTACGGACAGGAACCTGCAGGTTGGGCGTTGACGGAGTGCTTTGAGCGCGGAGATGGAAGGTGGGAGAGGGGAACTACGTTCGTCCACGGCACGGATCAGGCCAACCAACCGTTGAAGGATGTTGGATGGACTGTGAGGAGAGGAAAGGAGCTGCCGCCGGTTTGGGTTTTCTTACATAAGCCATAGATGATGCTAGGCTCTGTCTGAGCTGCAAATGAGAAGATCTTAGAAACAAACTATGGGCGATTCTCTCAGGGGAGCATCTTGTAGTCGATCGACAGATGGACTATAATGAAATTGTCGACTTAAGAATGAGAGAAAAAATGTGCGGTTGGAAGTCTGGGTCTCTGCTGTCTGGTTTTATTCTTTGGTTTCCTGTTTTGCGACTGTACTTTTCTTTTCTTTCTTGGTATGCTGTAAGGCTTCGGCATGGTGGTAGTAGAATATATGCATAAGAGAGCATGGCTGCGACTGTTATTTATCCAGAACATGGTGCATTGCTCATGGAGTGTGTAGTTGAAGGGACGTGGTCTATCTACCACAAATCCAGGGCTTACTATATTGACATGTATGTTTATCTGAATTGAACAATTCTTGCGCAAACCCAATATTCGATTCGTAAGTTCTCAAGTCCGACTCCATTTCCCACCGAAAGTAGATCCCAGCTAAGAAATACCCCACTTACTTATATAGTTATAGAAATTAAAAATTTTCTTGTCAAAGCCCACCAGCTTCTCAGAAGTTGATTATCCTCCGTGGCGCAATTGGCTAGCGCGTTCGACTGTTAATCTACATTGTAGAAAATAAATCGAGAGGTTGGTGGTTCGAGCCCACCCGGGGGAGTTTTCTTTTTTCTGCCCACTCGAAATTGAAGACGTGACTGAGTTCGTTTTTTTGTGAAGGGTTTTTTTGTTAAGGAGAGAGAGTGCCTATGTGTGTTATTGCAAACTGCTGTATTAACTTGCAGAAGACCTACTCCGTCGGCTAGCTTCCTACCAGCAAACACGACCCGATTCGACGGTCTCTTTCAACTCTTCTTACTATTATGAATATAAATTGTTGACTAAGCAAACGTACGAGCAGCGAACCGCAATTCGTTGGCTCAACAAGACTAGAGATGGTTGGACAGAAGCTATTTATTTGATACGCCCGTTTTATATAAGAATCCCATACTACCTACCCATTAAGAATACCCTTCTTAAATCCAAGCTGGATTTAGCAAGTCCAAACCTTAGGCCCTGGAACCGTGTAGCTCGTGAAGCTAGGCTGATAGATGTTCGCAGTGTATCCGGGGTCTGTGGACTTGACGTGGCCGGGAATCTTAACAGTAGGAGAGGGGTTTGCGGAACCGCCTCCGGTGACTTTGAGTTGGGCGCAGGAGACTGAAGGGGAGCAGGGTCAGTATATGAGCTTGTTATCCATACTTCATGCTGTGAGATCACATACCATAGAACTGTGGAGGGCTTCCAGGGTTGTGGATACCGAGTTGCTCAATGCGGAGGAGATAGTCACCAGCTGGGAGACAAGAAGGGATAGACACGGAATATGACACTATAGCGAAGTGAGCTTTATCTCCTGCTACTTATATCTTAGGATACCAGTAAAACTTACGACTCATATCCCACTTCGCCTGCCCGCCACTAAAACTCGGCCCAATCTCCTTTATCTTAAACCAATCGGTGCTCCCATCCGCGCTCGCGGCATCCGCGACCTTGGTCATGTAAAAACTAACAGGTCCCTGATGATACACGGCCGTGTCCGCAGTAAACGTCACACTGCTTCCAGCCGCGACTGCAACGGTGCCAGTGGAGCCGCCCGTCAGGCCACCGACGTTGCAGCGCAGGTCGTTTGAGGAGAGCGAGGTCACGGGCGAGTTGTTGTTTGTGTTTTTGCGGATGTTTTGGTAGGCGGCGCCTTTTTGGCCGTTGGCGGTTAGGTATTCGAAGATGTAGTGGGAGTGGGCGAGTTGGGTGAGAGTGGAGAAGGCGACGAGGGTGAGGGTGAGGGTCTTCATGGTTGCGGTTTTGGGGGGGGGATTTGCCAGGCAGTCTTTTGGAATGAGAGATGTGATAAACAGCCTTGAACGGGATACGAGGAGATTGAGACCAGTTTAAGTATTGTGAATACTGCACTTCTAAACGGGTGGATAATCCATATTTACCAGATCTATTATTTAGATATAAACGAGATGTTTATTTGAATCGAAGCCCAAATTAAATTGCGTCAGACTCTCCGTGCTCGTGGTGGCACATATGTCGGTAAACGCTGAATCGGCAAGCAGAAATCTGGGGAAGAGGTCCTACCCGCTGCAGAGGGTCATTTACTACGAACTGGTCTGGAGCCGGCACGATGACAAAGACATAGGAATGGGCCCACAAAACGGTTTCTTATGGGCTGCGTGTTGTGGAGGTTAATCTAAAGTATATTCAACCCGGCCCGTGCTAAGACTCCTGATATCTGCCCCGAAGAGGGATGGTATTGTTCAACCATATGGGGCATGCTGGATATCGTGCGAAGGAGAGCTTGCTGTGTGGGATATATTATCCTTGGCTCGATTTCATGGAGACAAGGCGCCAGATACATTAAATATACCCGGTTAATGTTCGCCAAGTTGATAATATTGTCTAGGATGACTCTGGCAGGTGTGGTAATAATACGGAACATAGAGGTCCGGGTAAGATATGGATCACCTGCTCTGAACCCTTCTAGTAGTAAGTAAGGGGGTTGTATCAGTTACGACAGAGGACCGGAAAAGAAGAGAGCAGATGTAGTATCTCAAGTTAAAAGATAGAGGTAGAAAAGAGGACCAATAAGAGAGAGCTTGATTTTCCCCTTGCAGCTTTGAGGCTAGTACCTTCTCGCGCCATTAATTCTGTAATAATACATCTTGACCATCTTATCTCTTTTGTTACCTCTTTTTAATGTTAACTTCCTTAAAGAATGCTCTCCTCAGGCAACAGAAACATATTTCCTTTTCCCGAATTAGCGAGAGGTTTTTACATTATATGGCGTCAGCTTATCCTTAAGGTTCAGTTAACTGTTAGACATGCGTCCTGTTAGTGTCAGCTCGAATCTCGAGCACTTATGAATGGATGATGATGTGGTCGTAAGGCGTCAAAGTTCGGTAAGAAGAAGAGGCACGTGAGCGGGGTCTGGCAGTGCGGGGCACACGTGATATTGATCTATCACTGAACCTGCCGCCACCACCGCTAAGATAGACTAGACCATGTGGCTAGCCATGACAGTCTTTTCTCTTTCAGGCAGGCCTATGCGAAACCTACCTATCTCCACTCTTTTTCGTTTCTCAACCTCTCGCGCCGCTCTAGTGTTTTCTTATCGTCGAAGCAGTTCTCCGGGCCAACAGGTAGGTAAAAGGGCACCAGCGGCTTATGATCCCTTTAGCTACATCTTCCGTGTTGTCATAATATATAAAGTTGTCCCCAGGTTGCCACTTATTTCCAAAGATATCTACTCCCGCACCCTTTCACCCCCTCTCCAATTCACCCTGATATAACTCTTTCTTCTTCAATCAACCTTATATATATCTTCCAAAGGCAATGAGTGTTGCATCGGGACAGAGTGTGCCCTCTGCACAGCCGGCCAAACACACCTCTTTTCATCCTCTAGCTCCTCTTTCAGCCCACGAAATCACTTCTGCTGCTGCCATCATCAAAGCCTCATGGCCAGCACACACAGACCTACACTTCAAAGTCATCACGCTGCACGAACCTCCTAAGGCGGAAGTCATTCCCTATCTTGAAGCCGAGCATAGCAAGAAGTCCCGCCCCACCATTAGCAGGAAAGCCTTCATCAACTATTACATCCGCAATACCGTAAGCTTCCCTCGTCAAGCTTTATATATCGGCTATGTTGATGGACTTACTCTGTTTTAGAACAAATTCCACGAGGCTATCGTTAATCTTTCTTCGGGCAAAATCCTGAATAATGTATTGCTAGGACCTAATTTCCATGCCAATGGAGACGGTGATGAGATCATTGCAATCGAGAAAATCGCACTGGAAGACGAGAGTGTCAAAGCCGAAATCGCCAAACTGAAACTCCCTGAAGGCACTGTTGTGATTAGCGATCCCTGGATATACGGTTCGGACGGGATCAACGATGACGAACGCCTGTACCAGTGTTTCCTTTACATGAGGGATCCCATGAATCCTTCGGAAGCAGATTCCAACCACTACGCTCTTCCACTTCCGATTTCCCCTGTTATTACCACTGAGAACATGAAAGTCATCCGCATCGACATCCTTCCCACAGGCGCGGACAACACCATTAAGGAACTCCAACCCTACCAAATTAAACCACCCAACGAGTACATCCCGGAATATCAAACTCTTCGAACCGATCTCAAGCCCCTGAATGTAGTTCAACCGGAGGGAGCTAGCTTCAAAATCACTCGTGAGGGCACTTCAAGTACCCTTTCATGGCAGAAGTGGAATTTTAGGATTGGGTTTAACCAGAGGGAGGGTATGGTATTGTACGACGTAAGTCTATCAACGTAGGATAATTGTGAGGAATTCACCTTACCAGTGTGATAGGTTCGCTACGACAACCGTAGCTTGTTTTACCGCATGTCTCTGTCTGACATGAACATCCCATATGCTGATCCTCGTCATCCATTCCACAAGAAGTCTGCATTCGACCTTGGAGATGCTGGCGCGGGTATCATGGCCAACAACCTGAAGCTGGGGTGTGACTGCCTAGGCTCCATCTACTATCTTGATGCTCATCTGTCCGATGATAAAGGTGGAGTAACTCACATGGAGAACGTGGTCTGTATCCATGAACAGGACGCTGGCATCGGGTGGAAGCACACCAACTACCGGACTGGACGCGCAGCAGTCGTTCGTTCCCGGGAACTGGTACTCCAGTCCATCATTACCGTGTCAAACTACGAGTATATCTTGGCTTTTGTTTTCAACCAGGCCGGAGAGCTCGACTACGAGATCCGCGCAACCGGAATCCTAAGCACTCAGCCAATCGATGATGGGATTGAAGTCCCATTCGGCACAGTTGTCCATCCTGGTGTCCTAGCGGTTCATCACCAGCATCACTTCAGTCTCCGGGTTGACCCCATGATCGAGGGACACGAGAACAGAGTGGTATACGATGAGGCTCACGCCATGCCCCGGTCCGATTTCAACCCCCACGGTACTGGCTACTATGTCAAATCAACCGTGGTGGAGGAGTCTGGCGGCTACGATCTCGATTTCGACAAGAACCGCACGTTCAAGATCCAGAACGCGAACGTCCGTAACCCGGTCAATGGCTACCCCGTTGGATACAAGATCCAGGCCCCACCCTTCCAGAAAATGTTGTCTGACAAGGACAGCTACAACTACAAGCGCGCCGAGTTTGCAGACCACAACATCTATGTGGTCAAGTATCGGGATGGAGAACTGTATTCCGGCGGCCAATACACGAACCAGTCCAGAGGAGGCACCGGTGTACGTTCCTGGGCGGATAGGAAGGAGAGTGTAAAAGATGCAGATATTGTGCTCTACATCCAAGCTGGCATAAATCATATTCCGCGTGTAGAGGACTTCCCGGTCATGCCCTGCGAGACTTTTAGGATCCAACTGAAGCCGGTGAATTTCTTTGACAAGAATCCGGCTTTGGATGTTCCGCCGTCGGAGCAAAGCTTCAACAAGAGTGTGCAGGTTGCGGAGACACATCAACAGCCGTCTGTGGTTGGAAAGATCGGGAAGGATGGGGAGGTGTGTTGCACGAGTAAGCTGTGAAACGGATGACTCTGATAGGTATTTACGGTGTCGTATCGTCGAGGTATATGAAATGAAATATATGAGCACTTATTCATATTACCAACA